CACACACACACACACACACACACACACACACACACACACAAACACACATGCACACACACACCTGAGCAGCACTGAATAGTGAGACTTGACGTTGAGGAGGGGCTTGCCTCATACTCCAATTCCGAACAGTCGACGCGCGTCACCTGGTTGATTAGTGTTTGTTTTTGTGCAGACCATTCATAGTTCCTGAGACTCTGCGCTGTACTCCTGGGTACAGCTTCTGGTTACAGCAGTCACATTCTGGAAGCAAGTTGGAGCAAACTGCAGCGTCAGACCAATCACACATAAACTTCTTAGCCGGAGGGGGTAAAAAGATCGAGAAGAGGTTATCTGCGGAATCAAAGTGGGTGTGTCACAAAAGTGGGCGTGTCACAAGAGTGGGCGTGTCTAAAGCATAAACACTGTGGGCTAAGAGGCCTACATGACTTTATCCTTAGACACTGCTTGACCTATTTACAGCCTGACCCTGACCCCAACACTAAGGTTCAGTACAGTAACGCCCTTTTTGTTCTTGTCCAATCAGGTGGTGCCGTACGGTGATGCCCCTTTTTTTGCTTGTCCAGTCAGGTGTGTCCCTCTAACAAAGTCCGTCAAATCAGGTGTGTCACTTTAGCATCGCCTTTCGTTGTGACACGCCCACTTGTCCGCAGAGACCCCTACTTGAAAAGCTCTGCCAATGGGGTGTGACAAGAAGGGGCATCAGAGTTGATGCTATGAACGCAGTGACGTCCTTTTTTTCATGAAACTGCGACAATCTGAGCCGACGTCGGCTGGTTGGAGGGAGTATAAAGACGCCTTAAATAGTTGAAGTTTGTAGGTGGAATTTGTTCCCTTTCTTACATGTTGTACAGCTTTAGTTGAGGGATTGAATGTCCCGGGCATTTAATGGGTAACGCTTTCTTTTACGGTACCATTATTACCATGTAATTACAAGGTGGTAATTAAATAGTACCTTATTACCATGTAATTACATGGTAATTACGATACAAAAGAAAAAAACTACTGTTAGTAAAACTACCTTTATTGGGTAACTACAATCAAATTACTATTCAATAGTAACTCAACACCATATTTATAACCAAAAGAATGCAAATAAATTTTGGGGTTAGTGGTTAATTGCAATAAAATATAACTTTAAAACCGTCCAAATTACCTACTACTTATTTAGGTGCATAGTGAATTGTAATACGTTACAAGGTAAGTGCTACATTACTGCAGACAAATACATAGTAAAATTTACCCTAATTACCACGTAATTACATGGTAATAAGGTAGTAATTACATTTAATTACAATTTTTTATTACCTTGTAATTACATAGTAATAAGTGTACCGTAAAAGAAAGCGTTACATTTAACGATGATTTTTGGCCTTGCCGCTTACTTACATAGATTTGTTCAAACTCCCTGAAGCTGTTGATGACAATATGGACTGTAGATGATAAAATCATTAAATTTCTTGCAAAGTGTTTGCTGAGAAACGTTCTCAAGCAGATGGACTATCTGCTCACGCAGTTGTTCACAGGGTGGTGAACCTGCCTCATCCGTGCTTGTGAACGACTGAGCCTTTCGGGGATGCTCCCTTTTTTTTTTACCCAATCATGACCTGTTTCCTTTTGTTGACTCTGTCCCAGCTTTTTTGGAACATGTTGCAGGCATCAAATTCAAAAAGAGTGAATATTTGAAAAAAAAAACAATAGTTTATTTGTTTGAACATTAAATATGTGTGTTTAATTAACATTTAATGGCTTTTACAACAATGTACAGGATGGTACAAAGTGTTGTTACTTTTGTTTTGTATTGATGATAATCACATTTTGACRTTGAAGTTGTCATTGCTTGTGTGTCTGACAGATGTGGACTGTCAAGTGATGAATCTAAAATATGTTCATTGTTCCTGGAACAATATGAACACCCCAGATGTCAATTACACCTTTTCCAGCTGGTTCGTACCAAATAACGTTTTACACATGGAATAATGATGCTCCTTCACTTGTTTTTTCTCTCAGATTGAACAATCAAGATAAGATAGAACTTTATTGAATCAAGCCCATTTTTTAAAGAACTTTAAACTAAAATGTTTTGAACTTTTGACCCCCTCTTGTCTCTCCTCTCCCCCTGCAGGTTTAAAAATGATCCTGAAACTTACTGTGTTGACTACGTGTTTGCCAACAACACAAGCATTGGATGCAACCAACCCTGCAAAGTTATCGATCGATTCTACACATTTCACACTGTTCTGAAACATGGCAACGAGACATATCGAAAGGAACACTACCTGAAAATGAAAGGTACGCACATTTCATGGAACGTTAAGCAACACCAGCGATGAACCTTTGATCAACCCCAAATCTCAAAATGTTGGGACATTGTTCAAAATGCAAAAAAAAAGTAACTTATAAACTCATAGATACATTCTATTCACTGTGGGACTTAGTGAAAATTTTAAATGTTGACGATAATATTAAAAATATTCTGACTTTTATGGCATCTAAAAAGAGTTAAGACATAAGTGACACGAATAAGAAAACAATATTTTACAGAGGCTGAATCTCTCAGAGGTAAAGATGGGCAGAGGTTCACCACTCTGTCTAAAAATAGTGGAATGATTTCAGAAAATGTTCATTAGTGGAAAATTGAAAAGAGTTAAAATTCCCCATCTTCTATTCAGTTCTGGACAGCCTCAGAAAAAAAAACACCATCCAGAAGCATTGTCCTCTTCTCTGAACCAGTGCTCATTCAAAATGGACTGAGGCAAAATGTAAAACTGTTCTGCGGTCAGATGAATAAAACTGCACTTTTATTTATTTATTTTACTTCCTCTGTGGAGAGGAGTGTTCCACCTGTCATCAGCACACAGTTCAAAGGCCTGCCTCTCTGATGGCATGGGGGTGCATTAGTACCTTTGACATGGGCAGGTACCCGCTTATAAAGGCACCATTGATGCAGGTTTTAGAATAAATACTCCCATCCAGCAATTAAATTCAATAAAGACAGTAAACCTGCTAGAATCATACACCAGATTTGTAAGATTTACTTGAGAAAATCCTGTAAACGATATGTACTAATGTTTGTTAAATAAATTTAAATGCCACAAATTCATGTAATATTTACACTCATCATTATCTAGTAAATGTTATTAAGAATATAGTTAAAGATTTGTGAATAAATCAGGTAAATGTTACTTAATTTGCTCAATTAAATCTTGTAACATATACTTGATCAAATTAAGTAAAATTTACCTGATTTATTCACAAATCTTTAACTATATTCTTAATAACTTACTAGATAATGATGAGTAAATATTACATGAATTTGTAGCATTTAAATTCACTTAAACATTAGTGCAAATTGTTACGAGGATTTTTTTCAAGTAAATCTTAATAGTTCTTTATAACAGTGCACATGCGTCAAGCACAATATTGAAGCATGACACCTCACAGCTACAGAGAAAGGTGTAGCTCTTGTTGTAGTTCATGACTTCACCACTAGATGGCAGTTTTGAAGAAACTTTATTGGATTCTTCTTCATGAACAACACAGACAAAGTGAAACTCACAGGTCTTATTAATTACTAGACCTACCACTCTCACTTATGGTTACTTCTGCTGAATGCTTTAACACAAGTTAACAAATAATGAACACACAAATTACAGTAACACAACAGACTAATTGCTGAAAGAACAATGTTAACCAATTCCTTAAAATGATTTAACAACAAACGTGAACCCTACCCACAATCCTCCACTGCAGTCACATGACAAACAGCCAAACACAGCAGAATGCTACAATATGCATTCCCTGTTCCCTGACAACTAAATATCACCTACATTATGTCATCAAACTATTGCACACCAACAAATGTATTCAAGCAAAAGAAACCAGACAACTTATGTTTTATTTCCACCATGTCTTGTCCTCTCCTTGAAAAGTGAAACAAGGGAATGAGGAGCAGCAGCCTTTGTGTGTGCATGCACCCTCAGTTTTAGCCCAGAAGAGTAGAAGTTACTTAATATDTTCATGTTTATGTGCTGTCCAGAAAAAACACTTAAATATTACTGGTAAAATACTATTAGCATTTACTTTTTTGTACAGTAATATTGATATGTAATATAATGCGTATTCTTTATTTAGTAAATTCTAATAGTTTAGAAAATTAGATATTGTTTTTGTAAAATTTAAAAGAATAATTAAATAAATGTTACTACACCCAAAAATCCTTTTTTTTCCAGTGCAGGAATAACACCGTCCCCCTTCAAAATCTCCACGTTTACAGACTTTTTCTTAAAAATAACGGGGGGTGGGGTGCTTCACAGTGGAAAACATGGCCCTTCAAACTTTTAAACATTTAAATAATGTTTAATGATAAATTAAATATACGCTTATGAGATTTACAAATCATTGAATTGTATTTACATTTTACACAATGTCCCTTTTCGGAGTTGTAACTTTCATTTTAACGGATTACACGTAACATACCATAGGTTCAGATAAATGTAGGCTGTGACCTAATCCCATTATCTGTTACTGTTTGCCGTCACCAGTCAAGTTAAACCCACCATCCAAGCTGACGGTAAAAAATGAATCTGACTTCAACCTGTGGTTTTACTGGAACCAGACTAGATGTGTGACGAGTCAAGTCCGCTACAGAAAGAACAACAACAACTGGGAGGTCAGCGGCATCTGGTTCCGTCCTTTTCATCTGTAAAACTTAATTGAATCTTTTAATTCCATCATCTTGTTTTATTAATTTTTTATTTGACAGCTCTCTAATCTTCCTGATGATAGTCAGAAGTACACCATCAACTTCCCCTCCAGCAACTCCAGATATGAGCTGCAGGTCCGGAGCAAAGTGTCTGAAATGTGTGGGGACTCAAAATTCTGGAGCGACTGGAGCGAGCCGGTGGCCTGGGGCTTCAACAACAGCACAGGTAAGACTGCAAACTATTTGTTACACTTTGTACATCTGCAGATGAGCAGAAGAATCACTGTTGTCTCTCCTTTTCCCCTCCCAGAAACAATCATGTTAAATGAGCCGATGTCTGTGTGGACACCAGTGATTTATGTGGTGGGGGCCATCACCCTCATCCTGCTGATGCTGCTGTTGCTGCAGCGTGAAAGGTGGGTGTCCCAGCATTCTTCTGGTGCCTGTCTGTGTGAGCGGGTTCGTTTTTCTAGATAAATATTTGGAGCTGACAGAAGACCCAGGATTTTCAACATCCCCCTTAAAGTCCTAAAAAAGGGTCAAAAGACCCTTAGTCCAAACCGACGACTCTGATGGCTCCAGTTAGCATCCTTTCATTTGTAAATGTGGCTATTGCCTTAGGAATCAGCAGTGGGGAGATGAGCCGAACTCACGCAAACGTCTGCCTAATAGTCTAAACAGTTGTGAAATCAACTGGTTATATTTTGAACTTATTGGTGGCGTGGTGGTTCGCATTTTTAACTAAAGAGACTGGAATTTCGAGATCCTGAAGACAAACCCCCTCCTTCTGCTTAGCAATCTGAGGGCTATTAGTTGCCTTTTGTTATACATATGGCTGAAGCTAATCCACACACACCCACCACGCCCAATGATATTCTTACTCTGTTTCTCAAGGGCTCCTGTTTACAAGTTTTTGCTCTGAAGATGTGGTGTGTTGCAAAGAACATAACTGGATGCCACTGCCTTTTCAGAGCTACAGTAAAAAAATGTAAAGAGAGCAGAAGAGACTTTATACATGGCCTTGCACTGGAACTTCGACAGTGTTTTATGCTGGAAAAGGCCATGATGAAAACGCCACRTCCCCTGCCTGGTCACAGCAAAAAACACAGTGTAATTTTAACACCTACAGAGTTGAATTTAACTCTGTTTTATATAATATTTGGTCCCACTCAAAATTAGTGCACAACGGGAGTGAGAGTTTAGAGTTCTGCACTCTATTCTAGAGTTAAATCAACTCTTGAAGTGTTGTATCAACACTGGTCATTAGTTAGCAAATCGGCACAACAATGTGACCCTTCACACACCAGGAAGTACCTTTCACTCATGGTGTCGACTTATGGCAAACAACACAAAACTTAAATTTGAAAAACTAACCAACCTGAACAGGAAAACTAACCACAAAACAATTTTTTACACTCATGAACCTTTTTAATAATCTTAGACATGCAAACACATCATTTCTACAAGATTACCCAGCATTCCTTGCTGAGAAAATTCTGGTCCATGAGGAAGAGGGCGGGGCTTTTCAGAATACTTCTTTCAACACTGCATTGTGTTAAACAATGACACTGTTAAGTGTTAATCAAGACTTAACAGTGGGCGGAGCTTATTTAACACTGTCCAGAGTTGAGACAACACTGATGAAATCAATTCTGTGAATTAACACCAACATTGGATGTCAGTTAACTCAGAAAGTATTAAAATAACACTCGGGGAGCTGAAATTAACTCTGCACTGCAAATTTAACACTCCATTTTTTTTACTGACGACGCAGTGTCGGGTTCAGACACTCTGCAAAAGGAACTGCAGCACAAAACAGTGTGCAGTTTGCAAGAAATATACCTGCCGCAAACGTAGAAAGGAGGAAAACTGGGTGTGTAATAAGTGTTACATGTGAAGCAGCTACATCTACAGACAAACATCTTTCTTTGTTGTAAAAAGAAAATGTATTTATTACTTGTGTAAACTGTTTTTGTAAATATTGTAAATAAAACTTGCTGCCAATTCCTGTTTATGTATCTTGATTCCCTCAGCCATGTCTGCAGAGTTTGGGCCGATGGGGGATGTGTAGCAACATACTACATCTTCAGACCAAAAACTTRTAAACAGGAGCCCTTGAGAAACAGAGTGAGAATATTATTGGGCRTGGTGGGTGTGTCTGGATTAGTGCCCCCTCCTGTGGTGCACCAGTAATGGACTTATTTACAAAACAAAAGCACCTGTTCACAGAATGTGAGCCAAAATCCTTCAGGTGAATCGRCCCCTCTCTGGGTTCCAAAGGTAGAAATGTTAAATGACCCTTCTCTGGGACTTCTTTGGTGTTAACTTGATTTAAGATGGAGATCACAGGAACTGTCAGAGATGAACACAAAGATAGCTTTAAGTCAGTTTCACAGATGTTGATCTCAAGTTTGTTCTGAGTGCCGCTGATAGGTAATGAAAGCTTTTGAAGTTTTGCATAAAAGCAGTGGGTTTGTTCCTTCAGGAATGCTAATTTTTGTTTTTATTGTTCAGATTTCTTTTTATTTTTTGCATTTACTTGTCCAACCTTTCATGTGTTTCTAGCTGCTTTATATGTATTTTAGCTTGTGTTGGTCAAACTGGAGCTTAAACACCACAGCTGGCTTCAGGTCAGATCCAAGAACGCAGACTAGAGACGAGACGTTCAAAACAATACGAATTTTTCGAACGGCTCCACAAAACATTAAGGTCTCTTTGAAACAAACGGATCGCTGCAAAGAGTCACATATCTCATCTCTAATGCAGACTTGATTCGATGAACTCATGACTGTTGCAAATGTTGCAAAAGGATCCCAATTCCTGCGGGTTTCTTTAGAGATGATCCCACGTAAAGGGGTCTCCAAAATGGAAGATTGTAACAAAGAGGAAGAACATGCTGTAGCATAAATATCTTTGGATCACACTTTTTTCATAACTGTAGTCAAATGCTGCAATTTACGTAAATATGATATAGATTAGTAGAAAACTATTCCAGTGAGCTCCAGATTGACATCAATAAAATCAGCACTTCAGAAAATGGGGTGCTCTACTTGCCTCAAAGAGGCACTTATACATCTTTAATTCGTACAGTATTTTTCGTGTTATATTATAAGTACCTAAATGTTTCAACAAAGCAGTCAAAATGCACATAGATGCAGAAACTTGTTTCACATGTTTTCATGTTTAATAACTTGGCCTTTGTTACGTGGAACTGCAAGTTAAAGTTTGACCAGCAGAAGGTGCCAAACCATTTTGTATTGAATGCTTTTAAACACTGAACCATTTTTAGCTGCACACTAAATGTTGACTAAATTTGTTGACATAAAATGCAAGAGATAAAAAAACTCGTCCTTTTATTGTTTTTAAATGTGAAATGTGTTTTACAGCAATGTTTAAAATTATTATTGCAAACATTTAGATCAAGTGTGTTCGCCTAAAACGTACAGGATATTTAATCTCCCTACAGCTGAGCATGTATCATATTTCAAATTTATTTTCTTCTTGAGAGCGGAGGAGATAAAGCCTCTAAAGTAAAACTGTTTCTCCTCTTCAGGCTCAGAATCATCCTCGTTCCTGTGGTTCCAAAGCCGTCGCTGAACTCTCCCGACGTCGAGGTAGAACCTTCATACAAACTTCACACTAAATGAACTAAAATATGTTCGGTTTTCATGTTTTTAATCTCAGCATTACTTGTTTCCAAGCTAACATCCTTCAGTTCTAGTTTACTTTAAATACAGACGGGATGAGCTGCATTAGGATAATTGCTGTTTATATGGAGATGAGCATAAAAAACATCTATTTAATTGAGAGCGATTTCTAATATACAGTGGGTAAAATAAGTATTGAACACGTCACCATTTTTCTCAGTAAATATATTACTAGAGGTGCTAATGACATGAAATTTTCACCAGA